CGCTGTAGGCAGCCACTCTCCTACAGATAGTTAATTATTTTCTCTTCTGTTCCATCTTTCCTCCCGGCCTCATCTTTTGTTGTGCTGCTTTTTTGAATTGTTTGTTTCCTGTTTCCCGACCAGATTCGCAGCTCCTGCTTCTGTCCAGTTCATTCTGATTGAATGAGTAAGTACAGGACATGGGTGGTAGCCTGTCCAAGAGCGCAAGAGAGGTGGCGTAGCTGATTCACCGTACACTGTATGACCCCAGTGAGGAAGCCTTCAGAATACACCCTTGTGTCCTGTCACGGTGATCTCGAGAACACAGTCTTAAGGTTTTTTTTTTTTTTGCATTACGCGGGCCTCTCACTGTTGTGACCTCTCCCATTGCGGAGCACAGGCTCCGGACGCGCAGGCTCAGTGGCCATGGCTCACGGGCCCAGCCGCTCCGCGGCATGTGGGATCTTCCCGGACCGGGGCACGAACCCGTGTCCCCTGCATCGGCAGGCGGACTCTCAACCACTGCGCCACCAGGGAAGCCCTCAGCTTGTTTTATTAAGCTATCTTGAGTGCAATTGGAATTGTTCTGAGCATATCGCTTTCTCTGGAAGAAAGAGACACATTGCCCTTTTATATTTTGGGGAGAAAGGCAGAAGGGCTGAAACCTAGACAGCCTCTGGTCTTATTTCTTGCTTGTATGAAATGATGCCTTTCTGCTGTTTCTTGAGGAAATGTAATTATCCTAACAGTGATTGCTGAATATCAGGCAGTGAGTTGAGCCAGAGGAATGGGTTCTTTCAGAAGATGGACTAGAAAACTATCAACAGGATTGATCATTAAAAACAAAACAAAACAGGATTGATCATTAAAAAAAAAAATCCACTGAAGTGTTTATTTACAAAATTACAGTGAAACTCCCTTGCTTTACAGACCTGACTATTGTCCTGATCAGGTCTCCTGACTGTGTCCTTTGATACATAGCTCTGCTGTGAATCTGACTGAGAAACTCTGTGCTGCAGGCCTTACTCCTTTCCTCTGACAGTAACCTTGTAACAGTGAGATTGCAGGGAAAAATGCCTTTGTATCTAAATCTTTTAGTCATGGAATTTAACACACTGGTTATTATTCTACCCAGTTTTCGAGTTCTATGTATTTTTTTCTGCTCATTGGCTTATTGTTTGGGTTATCATTTTAGAGATCCGGTTTAACAAGAAGCAACATGAACTTCTTTGAAAATTCATGAACTTGCTTTGAAAAATTAGCATCAGTACAAATTAAATGATTAGCGCTTGCTGTTTAAACTTGCCATGGAAGCAGTGAGAGGTGAAACTTGGTTAACTTTCTCTTTCTGCTGGCGCATGCCCTGGGTATCTGTGGAGTTTAATAATGCTTTTGACCTCTGGGGGTACTGAACTTGAAATTTCTCCAGGTCTTTGGTGGGGGAGGTACTTAAGCACTGTCACATACTCTGTGTCATCATCGTTTCCAAAGATACATCACACCAAATCATAAATCTCGGAAGGTTAATTCATTAGAGAAATTTGTTTTCTTACTCATATTGGGTTTTCTCTATAAGGGAGATAAAATACAGTGCAGTTCACTGGATTTCTAAGTTACAGGCTATTTTGTGTCTGGGATACTGGTTGGAGACATTTTGTGCTTGGGTCAGCTTTTTTGTAGGCAACTTTTACATCTCATGAACTAAAACTACGTATATATACACAAAGGTGTTTATGAAAAAGAGGCTCGTTCCTATCAGTTCCCAGAGAAGCGCATCTTATTTTGTGTTATCGCTCAGGTAGCTGATAGGGTGCAAGCTTTTTCTGTAAAACGCTAGATAGGAAATGTTTTCAGTTTTGTCTTCTCTGTGGCTGCTACTCATGTTGGTCACAGACAGTATGTGACAGCGTTGCTGTGTTCTGGTAAAACTTTGTTTACAGAAATAGGTGGGCTGGGAAATAGCCTGTGGGCCGGTAGTTTGCTGACCCCTGAGCTAGTATAAACTCTTGAGGATTTTTCTTCTGAAGGAGTCCCTCCAAAGCTTTCTCTCCTACTTCACTGTAGCTTCATGATTCTGCAAGGGGCTTGTGGTTTGCAGAGTTAGTGGGCAGTTCCTGTTTTCTTTCCTGTGTTATTTTGAGGGGGTGAATATTTTATTAATCTCTCTCCGTAACTCCCTCCCCCGCCCCCATCCTGACCTTAATAGTTTTTGTATAGTGCACTGATAGATAGGTATTCCTTGAAAGAACTCATTCTCACTAATGGTCCTGGAGGATTTTTATAAGATGTTTACATACCAAGAGCAATTAAATGTTTTTCTCAGCTTGTTTTTTTCTTTGGTAATTAGCTTATATCTGTAGAGAAATTTTGAAAGGGTAAATGTGCATAATAAAATACATTGAAATTCATGTCCTAATTTTTCTTGTGGGTCTTCTTTTTGTTTTTAAAATTAAAAATATTGCAACAAAATATTTAAGACAGCAGAAGAACCTTTTTATCTCTGTGTACTGAAAAGTATAGCTTCTGTTTGATTTAGTATTTAACAGATAAATATTGATATGGGCAAATACTTTAGTGTTTGTTGCTGATGAAATAAAACGTTTGATAGCCACGTAGGCAAAGAAAACTTACCCAGATAAAAATTAGTCCACAGTCACAGATGGCATGTCTGATCCTAACCATCAGCTTTTATTTATTTTTTATTTAGAATTTTAAAAAAAGTTAATTAAATTAATTATTTTTGGCTGCGTTGGGTCTTCGTTGTGGTGCACGGGCTTCTCACTGTGGTGGCCTCTCCCGTTGCGGAGCACGGGCTCTAGGCGTGTAGTCCTCAGCAATTGTGGCTCACGGGCTCTAGGGCGCAGGCTCAGTAGTTGTGGCTCACAGGCCCAGCTGTTCCGCGGCACGTGGGATCCTCCTGGACCAGGGCCCAAACCCGTGTCCCCTGCGTTGGCAGTTGGATTCTTAACCACTGTGTCACCAGGGAAGCCCTTCAGGTTTTAAATATGCTTTTTAATACGCCTTTGCTCACAAGGCATCCTGGGAAGTGAGGGGGATGGCTCTGTGCCAGCCTTTCTTCACCATGGAAGGAAGAGTACGGAAACTCATTTGATTGACAGTGGATCTCAGAAGTCTGGTTTATATTAAAGTTCAGTATTGTTATTACTGTCCTTCAATAATTATGCAAACTGTTTTTAAGAAACATTATTACTTATTGACAGATTCTGTTCATATCCAGATAGAATATTAGGGTTTCAAATTTTATTTGAGACCAGGGTTTGAAGGTTTATGTCATAACCTAAACTAATGTGCTATGTATTATTTGCTCTTAGTTCAGTTGCTGCATTTCTGGCTAAATTATTATAAAATTGTGATTTCTGCCCCTCCAGCTCCTTTTCACACATGCTTTGTTACAAATGAAGTAGGACACCACAGCCGTTAAATCTGGTTTTTGTCCTCACTAGTTGACCATGGTGTTTTTGTTGTATCTTACTACCCAGCAGCATACACACTTTATGTAATTTGTTGCAAGTACACACCCCTGCTCATTTATTTTATTTTGCTTGTGATCATGATTAAGTGATTTCACTTCACTGAGAGGTAGATTGCTCTTATGGAAAGAGCAGGCAGCTGGCTTCTGTTTTCAGTTCTGCTGTCAGTGCTTCCTAGGTGTTACTTCAGGCAAGCTATTTCATGTTTTAGAATGTTAGTTTCCATCTGTCTGTCAAATCGAGATAATACTTTGTCTTGCTTACTTCACAGTGGGGTTATTCTCATGTGAGAGTAAAAAGAGGTAATATAGCACTTTGGAAATTTTGCAGTGGTCTGCACATGTAGGAGTGTCTGTTATGTCGATTGGCTGTATATAATAAAAACCCAAATCACAGTAGTAAAAAGTCTGTATTCTCCTATAAAACAAGGTGTTTTCCAAGGTGTGCCATCCAGAGTTGAGAGAGTGACCATGATCGTCAGGTATCTAGTTTCCTACAGTCTGCACCATTGTCGTTAGTGCATGGTTTCCATTCTCAGGGGTTCCTCATGGTCACAGATGGCCATTGCAGCTACAGTGGTCAGATTAATGTTCTAGGCCAGTGTTATCTGAATCGTAGTCCATGGACTGAACTGTCTGTTACTAGGCCACCACGTATTGAGTACAGAAAGTAACCGTTTAGAAACTTTTATAACCATTTGACATTGCCACACCATTTTATTTGTGTTTTTTATAAAAGTATTACTCTGCAGTGGATTGGGGGAAACTGGTTCTCCACTCTAGCCAGGCAGCTGAAAGAGGAGGGCCCATTCCAGAGCTTTCCTAGTACCCCTGCCTAACAACTTCAGTTTATGTAGATCTTCAGGGGAGGTGGGAGTTGGTTTTGGCTGTCCAGTAGTATAGGGGTTCTATTATTAAGGAAAGTGGGGGGAGTGGAGGTTGAGTTAGGCAGCCAGCAATCTCTGCCATGGTTGGACGTGTCTGAAACTGTAGTACAGTTCAGCACAGAATCAGATCCACAAATGCACCCAGTTCCTGAGTAGTAATGACCCAAGGCACTGCAGCCATTTCTGGCATTAGGAGACTTACTGCATATCTCAGATGGAAAAACATATTGAGAATGCTAAAAGCAGAGTATAATGATGTAAGAGATTATATGGTTGTCATTTGTAGAAAAGAACATTTTCAACAGATTTTAAATTTCCTTATATTTTCATAACTTAGAACTAAATTTGTGAATTCAGTTATGTTTAGTTACAGTTCGTCTTAAACCAACATGAATTATCTTCTTGCAAATATCATTGTTTGATTCTCCTAGGGTAAGATGTAGAAGTAGGACTCTTTACAAAGATGACTTTTTTTTTTTTTTTTTTTTTTTTTTTTTGGCGGTACGCGGGCCTCTCACTGCTGTGGCCTCCCCCGCTGCGGAGCACAGGCTCCGGATGCACAGGCTCAGCGGTCATGGCTCACGGGCCCAGCCGCTGTGCGGCATGTGGGATCTTCCCGGACCGGGGCACAAACCCGTGTCCCCTGCATCGGCAGGCGGACTCTCAACCACTGCGCCACCAGGGAAGCCCTACAAAGATGACTTTTAAAAGGTACCTTTTTATTGGTTTGGAATTGGCATGGTCCTCTTTTGTATGTTGTAGTGTATACCAGTATGTGTGTTTGTAAATGCAAATGCATACAGGGTGGAAGCTGTAGGGAGGGTTTTAAAAGACAAGTTTATTAGAATGAAGTGGCTTGTTATTTAGCTGAATTTTGTTTGTGTTTTCCAGTTTTAATTTCATTGTCCTCTTTCATTGAGAAGAGGAAGTATGGTAAAATATCTTCACTATGAGTGTAATACTTTACATTGGCATTGCAATATTTTTTCCTATTATAAAAGTCTGTGTTTCCTTCCAGTGAATTAAGCCCTTGTGTATTAAACCCTCTTATTTTGTAGCATTTGATACTAAGCATGAGGAAGAGATTTAAAAAAGAACGATAGCTGCATCTTTAAGAGAAAATCAGAGTTCTTACCTGCAAATGTTTGTGAGAGGTGCAGGGCATAAGTAAATGTCTTTAAAGTAGCTAAAAAGCAGTGTATTTGCCGTGGTGTGTGTGCATTGCTGAGAAGGCTCAAAATGATGGAACCTGTCCATCGGTAAGGTTCAAGAGGAGGTGTCCTAACGAACTGATGAATTTGGGTTTGGCTTTTACAGATAGGTGTGGTGGAAGGGAGAAGAAAGTGGGTTCTAGGTGGGGAAACTCTTACCACTAATGGTTGGTTTAGAGTAGTTCTCATCATATGGATACTTTTTAGTTACAGTGGCTGGATTTGGATGTGGGATGGTGATAGGCAAGGTCCGTTAATTGACTTGTATAGACAGTTTTGCATTGAAAATAGATGATTGTGCTTGGCTTTTCATCCAGAGGTACTAGTTGGCATTTTTGTTTTTCCTTTAATCAGTGAAGATAGTGCTGATGGTGGTTTGCTGTTCATTGTCAGTGGGAAAACTTACTTGGTCGCAGATGGTCAGTGGCTGCCGGGAGGGTCGGGGCTTTTCTTGCTTTTAAGACCATCTGTTTTTTTTGGGACCATTCCATTTGAAGCATATGTACCTTTTCCTCTTGTTTTATCCCAGAAAAGCCTCTTCACACCACCAAGCTATTCACAGAGAAAAACTTGCCTTAACTGCCTGCTGGCGCAGGTGGCTTGATCTTTACTTTCTTGTGGCCCTGTGGAAGTTGGGACAAGATGTAGTGGATCTGATGGCAGCACCACGGGACTCTTGCAGCCCTCTCTTCAGAGTCTCGGTTGGAAGAGGCCCAACTGGTTTTCTCCTTTATAGTGAACAAACATTTGGGAAACTCTGCTCAGTTCCTGACATCTGAAACAGCTGAATAACTTTCAGTTGCTCCGGACACTGACAGAACAATACAGTTGAGTCGGGATGGTTTGGAGACTAATTGGTTGGCAACTCTTTCTACTCAGCAGTTCTTCAGCTGTTCCAGAAAAAGAAACTGCTGGAGGATTCTGGGTGAGCATGTGGTCAGTGGGAGGGAAGCAGCAACTGTGAATTAGCATGGCTGAGGAGACTGCAGGTGCGGGAAGTCAAGGAACCTTAGTTACTTAGTTAAGTGGAGGAAATGCAATTTGAGGACTAGGTTTTCCAGACTAGCAAATTAACAGTGTGTTTACCCTGCTGCCTGGAAGCATTGCCTTCATATTTCCTTCTAAGTGTGAACTAATTAAGATGAGAAAGTTTTCAGCTTCTACTTTGGAAAGCTTAAAGGCATGGCTTATGTACTTTTTGCATCAGCAGCAGAATCAGAATTCCAAATCGACTAGCTTGGCCTTACAGTGACTCACCTGCAGGCTTCAAAGCAGTTCACCTTTCCCGCTGTCTTCAGGGCTCCTCTGGCTTTTTGCTTCATTCTGTACAGTTTCATGAAACTTGTTTCGTGAGTTAATTTACCTCCCTGAATGGATATGAAACTTGAGGGAACGAACTGTGTTTTAAACATTCCTGATATTCTCTGTGGTCCCTAGTACTGTTCTTGGTGGATCGTAGGCTGTTTATTGATTTGATGGATTTGTTCTCTGTCTTTGAGTTACTGGCTCTTCATCTTTCAGGTCTCAGCTCAAGTGTTGCCTACTCCAGACGATTTTTCTGACTACCTTATCCATGGCTTCAGCCTCTTTCCTACTTAGTCATTCTCTAAGATGTTGCCCAGTCTTAATATCTTTCTTGTTTTTATGACACTGATCATCACCCTAGATTACCTTGTTGATTTACAGGCAGACCTTGGTGATGCTGTGGGTTTGTTTCCAGATCACTGCAATAAAGCAATATCACAGTAGAGTCACACCAATCTTTTGGTTTCCCAGTGCATATAAAAGTTATGTTTACAATATACTATCGTCTAATAAGTGTGCAATAGCATTATGTCTAAAAAAATACATACTTTAATTAAAAAATACTTTATTGTTAAAAAATGCTAACCATCACTTGAGCCTTCAGGGAGTCATAATCTTTTTGCAGTAGTAATATAAAAGATCACAGATCACCATAACAAATATAATAATAATGAAAAGGTCTGAAATATTGCAAGAATTACCAAAATGTGACGCTGAGACATGAAGTGAGCAAATGCTGTTGGAAAGATGGCACCGCTGGGCTTGCTTGATGCCGGGTTATCACAGCCTTAATCTGTAAAAACAAAATGCAATTATCTGCGAAGTACAGCAAAGAGAAGTGCAGTGAAACAAGGTATGACTGTATTTTTTTCCCTTTCCCCAGTAGAACACTAGAATTTCCTCAATAGTTGGCTTGTTTTCCCTTCCCCAGTGGAACAAAAGCTCTTTGAGGACGAAAACCTCATTTGTCTTATTCTGTGACTGTTACAGGATCTAGCACTCAGGCATTCAGCACATAGTCACGGAATGAATGAGTGAACGAATGAAAATGTTAATGAATATTTTGCAATTTAGCCAACGCGATTTGGTTTTTACCTGGGCTGTGGTTTCTTAAGCTGCGTTCTGAGGTGGTGCATTTGGTGGTTACCAGGGAAGATGGTCAAAGGGAGGCTCCATGAGAGAAGCTCTGGGCCCCTGTTTCTTCTTGAAGGACGATTTGGATTTCAATTTATAGAGGTTTTGTTTGGAAAAGAGAAATAAAAGGTCCATCTCTACCTTAGAGCATCTGTGCATCTTGAGCTCTACTTTAACTGATGTTGCTTAGTTGCCATTTCATGTTGCTGAGGGAACCTGGCACAGATTATCTTTTTGCCCTGGACCACATGTGCTGGTTGCTCAGGGATGGGATTTTTCTGGATCAGGTGTCGCACCTCATGCAGTCAGCTGTAGGCTCTAGGCCAGAGTCACGTAAAACAAAGCATGGCCACCTAAAGGGACTGGAAAGGGCAACTGCCCTTAGAGGAGGGCATAGGAAGGATGGGTCTGGGGACTTCTCTAGCTCAGGTACCTTACAAGGACTTCTGGTGAAATTTTAAAGAGGCAGATGTTTCTGAAAAGGAGAAGTACTGGAATATGTCAGATTTGGAGGTTGGATGGTCTTCTTTTTCCTCAAGTGAAATGAGGATTTTTAATGACTTATTTTAAATTACCCCAGTATGTTACTTTCTTCTCTTAAATGTTTCTGTACAGTTCAGCCAACATTCATTAAATGATTACTGTGTATATAATAGGAAGTCCATTGTGTAGGAGGAAAAAGATATGAATTAGTCTCTCCCTCAAGAATGGTCAGCTCCAAGTGGTTGGGGGAGGGAGGGAGATGCTTGCCTATTTGTTTATTGCTATAGACCCAGGGCCATACAGTTTCTGGCACATAGTAGGAGCTTAATAAATATTTGTTGAATGTAAAAATATGAATAAAGTATGGCCTCTGCGCTCAAGTGGTTCAAGAGGAATAGAGAGGGACCACCACACACTTGCAGAGAGTGGGGCTCGGAGAAGTGCGAGAGTGCTTTCCACGGGTAGGACTTGGCAAGGGTACCCCAGCTTTTGAGCTGAGCTTCGAAGGGTTGGAAGGATCTTTTATAAATTTATGTATTTATTTATTTATTTTTGGCTGCATTGGGTCTTCGTTGCTGTGCGCAGGCTTTCTCTAGTTGCAGCGAGCAGGGGCTACTCTTCGTTGTGGTGCATGGGCTTCTCATCGTGGTGGCTTCTCTTGTTGCGGAGCACGGGCTCTAGAGCACAGGCTCAGTAGTTGTGGCACGCAGGCTCAGTACTTGTGGCTCTCGGGCTCTAGAGCTCAGGCTCAGTAGTTGTGGTGCGCGGGCTTAGTTGCTCCGTGGCATGTGAGATCTTCCCGGACCAGGGCTCGAGCCCATGTCCCCTGCATTGGCAGACGGGTTCTTAACCACTGCGCCACCAGGGAAGCCCTGGGTTGGAAGGATTTTGACTGGAAAACAGAAAAGCTTTTTAAGGACACAAGATAGAGGCAAAATATTTTTGTTGAATGTTGGGAGTCTAGCTTGGTTTGGTCAAGAGAGCGGTCAGAGATAGAGCCGTAAAGATATGCCTGCCTTTGAAAGTCACGCTGAGAAACTGGATTAGTTGTTGGGGAACCATGGATGTTTTTTACCAGTTGAGTACGTGATCAGAATTACGCTTTAAGAAAATTAGGGTTAGAGATAGAACTTATTAGGAGAACATGGGTGACAGGATGGCCAGGATTTCCTGCTCATTAACTAGCTGTTGGGTGTCTGAGAGAAGGTGGTAAGGAATCCTTAGGTTTATGAGACCCAAACACTGGAAAAGGGATTTGTTCCATCAGAAGCTGTGGCATTTGTTATGAGTATGAGAAAATAATTTAATGCTGAGTTTTGTTTTACTCGTTTATATTTCAAAATTGTTCTTAAATTTTAGTTTCCTGGCCTGTATTCTTACTCCAGGGATGTGATTCTGATCAATCTGTTGTCTGTTAACGCGCTCAGCAGCTATTCATTCCTTTGGTAGATTCCTGTGACAATTCCAGCTGCTTTCTTATATCTTGTCTCTATTTCCTTACATACATTTTCTAATTTAGTTCTTTTGGTTTGGTTGCTATTTTGTATTTTAACTAGAAACCACATAATTAAGAAATGTATAAATTTGTGAACATTGGTAGAATACATCTTTTATCTGTTGCCCATAGTGCATCTGCAGCATCTGGTCTCCAGCTGAAATCTGCCTGAGAAATGAAGTTCATTTACTTTATCATGATGAGACTTGTCCTTTCAGGTGTGCTCCCCTTTTCCTGAGTTTCCTCATTTGGTTACCAGAGCTTTTAGCTGATGCCTTTTCTTAGGCAGAAGGCAGGTGAGGTCTGTTAGTGGTTTCTTTAAAAAAAAAAAAAAATCTCCTTACTGTAAATCACAAATACAAACAACCACACAAAGCATGTGTATAGTTTAATGAATTGTAATGTGTAACTACCTCCCAGGTGAAGAAATAGGACTTTGCCAGCCATCTCCCAGTTCCTCTGCAATGACAGTCCCCTCCTTCCTTACAAAATTAACCACTACCCTGACTTTTAAAAGTAGTGATTTCTTCATGTTCCTTTATAGTTTTATCTCCCAAGCGTGGATCTCTGGACACTACACGTTAGTTTTGCCTATAATCTTATAATCTGTAGTTCTCCCTCCCCCCCCCCCCCCCCCCCCCCGCCCCTGCGCCCTTCATTCATCCCTTTATTTATTTTGAAAAAGCCAAGCCACTTGACCTGAAGTATCTCCCACAATCTAGATGTTGTTGATTGCTAGTGCAGTAAACATGTGCCTCTGTCTACTGCATTTCCTGCACATTAATAGCTGGATCCAGAGGCTTGTTCAGACTTGAGTCTGACCCATTTGGGCAAGATTACAAATGGTGTAGTAAATTTTTACCAGAGGCATGTCATGTCTGGTTTTTTTGTTGTTGTTTGTTTGTTTGTTTTTTCTCCTTTCTCTTTTGGATTTTACTACCTGTATCCATTAATTCCTTGAGTGTTGCAGAATTATGAGATTCTAATTCTACCATTTCATTTTCATTTATTAGCTAGAATAATTTCATATGGCAGTGCTTCCTGTCATCAATGATTTGCCTATCCAGTTGTACCGTTTATTTAGGAAAGACAGGATAAAAGCTTGATTCTTTCTTTTTACCCACTTTTCAAATAATGCGTTGGGTACCCTTAAAGATATTGATGGGTTTCAAATAATTGCAATTCTTAATCCTCATTGAAGCCCAGATTGTTCCATCGTTGGCTACTGGGAGCCTCTCCAAGTTGGCTTCTAAGTCGTTGATATGACCCTAGTGGTCTAATGTCCTTGCTATCTGTATGTCTAGCTGCTCCATCCCCATCTTGTGCATTTCCACACCAGACCTGGAATCACCATTTCTTCTAGACTCCATGGTTTCTTTTAGTGAGAAATGATATTTCAAGAGCACATTCTGGGCTGTTTGGGACTCATTTCTACTGGGTTGGTCATTATGTCTAGATCTTTGGATTTTTATAAATTACATGAAAATTTCTAAAATTTCAGTGGACAGAGCTGGGAAACATTATCTATTATAGTGATACTTTATCAATCATACTGATATTTCTTTTTTTTTAAACTGCATAGACTTTAAATTTATTTTATTTATTTAATTTTGGCTGCATTGGGTCTTCATTGCTGCATACTGATATTTCTAATTCAAATTCAGAATTATAGAGTTTGTACCTCATCTGTATTCCATCTGTATCTTCCACACAGAGATTCCTGATTCTCAGGCACACAGGAGTGACAAAGTTAGAATATCCTGTCATTATTTTCTTTATCTCACCTTACCCAAACAGCTGTCTCAGAGTAACAGTATTAATCCCATGCTCACCAGTTATGATTACTGAAGAGTATTTAAAAAAAAGTTTAGTTTGTGCTCTCCCTATGCTTCCCCCATGTTTTAAATGATAGTATTGATACTATGTCTACATTTTCAGATTTCATAACTAGTACATACTATAGTCTCTTCTCTTTAACCCTTATTTAGTCTTAGTTCTCCAAGTAACTCTATATTTTATCTTTACCGCTAGTGCTTATATAGATGTCTCTCTAGTCATCTTAGTTGTCTGGAGGAACTATAGTCCCCGACTTCTTGAATGCTTATAACAGGTTGTTTGTGCCCTTACACTTGCAGGTCAGATTTTGCTGGCTAATGTTTTCTTTTCTTTCTTTCTTACTTGTAAAAATTGAGGTATAATTGATATACAACATCATATTACTCTCAGCATAATGGTTCGGTATTTGAATATACTGTGAAGTGATCACCACAGTAAGTCTTGTTAACAGCTATCACCGCACAGAGTTACAGAATTCTTTTTCCCTTGTGATGAGAACTTCTAAGGTCTCTCTCAGCAACTTTCAGATGCGCAGTACAGTATTACTAACTATGGTCACCATAACATGTTTTCTTTCCTTGAGTGCCTTAAATATGCAACAACATTTTCTTCAGGCATAAAGCACTGCTGTCAAAGTCTGTTGAAACTCTAATTATCTTTGTTTTATAATTCACATATTGTTTTTTCCTAGATGCCTGAAGAAATTTTTTTTTCCTTTAAAGTTCAGTAATTTTAGTAGAAAGAATGTGTCTTAATCAGGATCTTCTGGATTAGTGTGCTTAAGTATATCGTGTGCTCTTGAAGTGTGAAGTTTCAAAGCTTTTCATTTCAGGAAAATGTTCTTGAATTACAGTGTTTGTTCTTACCCTTAGATTTTAGTGTTTGTTCTTATCCTTAGATTTGGTTTTCTTTTCCAGGAGCTTCTGCTGTCTGTATCAAGACAAGATATCCTTGTCTATCTTTAATATTTGTCACTTTCTCCTGAATCCGTTTTGTTTTTTATTTCTTTTTGACTTTAAAATTTTCTTCTTTTCACCTTCTCTTTCTCATAAGGCATTGCTAGCTGTGTTTATTCACTCTTGTATTCCTTCTGGTTTAGTCTTCATTTCTAAAATAATTTTTGTCTGACATTTCACGTCTGAGTTTTCCTGTGTCTGATATGTATTGCTTTCTAATGTCTTGTATCATTTATTTAATAATGTCTTTTAGCTTGTTTTGAAACAGTGCATTACAGTTTTGGTTGTGTGTGTGTGTGCACGCAGGTGTTTTTTTTTTTTTTTTTGCTGTGCTTTCCTTGTAGAGATGCTATCCTGCTCCTTATTCCTTCCCCCTCCCCATTAGTAGCATTGTATGAGGTTTAACCTCAGTACTTTTGCTTATTTTTATGCACATTTGATTTTCTTGAACTTTTAGAAGGAGGTGTGTGTGGTTCAGAGTAGTTTCTTGTAACTTCACGGAGCCCCCTCTTCCGTTGTTATGTGATGTTAAAAATATGGTGCTTGCATTTTGTGAGTTCCTGACTCTGTTCCCTTCGTTCACTTTCATTTGAACCTTCTTTTTCCTTTACTGTCTTGTTCCTGTTCTGCTCGGTCTGTGCTCCATTCCCTGTAGTTTCTCCTTTGTTATGGGGCATTCTCCTGGAAGGGAGCTGTGGTGAGTTTTTAGAGTTCACTGTGGTTAGACTACTTAGCCTTTTCTGGTCCCCCTGTACTAACTTGCATCCCCATGGACAAAACCCCCGCAGTGGCAAGCTGCTGTTAGCACATTGGCCCACCTCCATGCTCAGTAACGACTTTGAGATCCTCCTGATCTTCCGTGTGAGAGGTACAGCGTTCCTTCAGTTTTCTCCCCTACAGATGCTGACAAGCACAGGCCTTTCGGTTGCTGGTGGTCTGTGCCCCCCACCTGCTTACATTCGCGGATTTGTGAAGATACCTTGTTTCTGCATTCTGTTTTGTTGTCAGTGGGAGTTTGGTTTGACTCTCTAGTTGATCTGTTTTTATGGTGGTGAGTCAGGAAGATCGGTAAACTATGCTGCCATCCTCCTAGAATTCCTGGTGTCTTAGTTTTTATTGAAATGGTTTTCTACTAAGCCTAGGATCACAAACACGTGAGTTCTCAGTGTGACCTGCTGTTTGTCATGGCTGCCACCGTTTCTGTATAAGCCCTGAGGGGAGGGACAGGTACAGAAGACAAGAAAGAAGGAACAGTTTATCAATTACCAGCTGAGTTTGGTCCCCTAACCCCATGGAGTTTCCCCCTAGTGGTCTAGGCCATGTCAGAGGCATAGATGCTCAGTTTTCTTCTAAAATTTTTTCTAGTCCAGGAGAAGCTTGAAGTCCTGTCTTCGTAAATAGATGCTCAGATCGACCTGTGAAATCTCACCAATGATGGTGAGAGGATGCTGTTCCCCTCCCGCTTCCATCCCCCCACCCCAAATGTATGTGTTAGAGCTTTGCGTTTTTCCTTATTGGTTTATCCCTTACAAGGTGACTTAAAACATATTAACTTTCCAGAAAAATTTTATTTTGAGCAAAAGGAGCAACTGGTTTAGTGACTGGAGTTGCAGATTTGAGGAGATGTTTTGTATGATTATTTCTGGATTATACATTTATCTGAGGTAATATATCAGCACACAATTATAGCTGAGATTTTTTACATTTCACAAACATAAACATTAGACATTACAAGTGTCACAACAGTGCAGTCTGTATGCATACATATTAAATAAGTATACATTTATAAAATATAGTTGCATAATTCAAACAGGAAAACCTCAAAAAGTATAACCATCAATCAACATTACTATTGATTTTATGTAAATATAAAGTATGTTAATAAGAGGAAATGATGCTTTCCAATATTGGTGATAGCATACAAAGTGAGATTAAGATGCCAGTGATCTCAAGGGCTAAGGTGTAACTTTTATTTCTTGAATGCAGATTTAAATGAATCTACACATATACTATCAAGCTATTTTCAACGGGAAGAGGAAAGTCTTTTCAACAAATAGGCTGGGACAGTTGAATATCCATAGGGCAAAAACAAAAGACAAAACCCTAACTCACACCATACGTAAGAGTCAATTTGAGATGGATCATTGACTTAAATATAAGGTAAAAATTATGTATCTTGACAACCTTGATGGAGGCAAAGATTTCTTAAAGAGGAGATGGAAGGTATTAACCATAAAAGAAAAAAAAAAGGGAATTCATCAAGAGACATTGTTAATATTCATAGGGGAAGCCTCAGACAGTGAGAAAATGTTTACAACACAAATCTGAGAAAGGAATTGAATCCAGGATACATGAAAAACGTCAAACAGAACTGCTACAACTTAATAATAAGGCAACTCAGTTTTTAAAAATGACTCGAATATAGAGACACTTTAAGAAAGAGGATATATGACTGGAGGATAAGCCCATGAAAAAGTGCTCAATATCGTTAGTCATCAGGAAAATGTAAGTCAAAACTACAGTAAATACCACTATACAGCCACTAGAATGGCTAAATGGAAAAGGCTGGTAACTGATTATCAAGGTTGCCTCTCTGGCAAGGAACTCTCCAGCTTTGTTGGTGGGAATGAAAACAGTACAACCACTTAAACAGCTTTGACAGTTTCTTAAAATTTAAATATATAGATCTATCCTGGTCTCTATAATAGAAATCAGATTAGTGGTTGCTTCTACAGGTAGGGTAGAGATTGAGTGGGAATGTGCTTGAGAGAACCTTCTGGAAGAGTAGAACTGTTTTGGACTTGGGTTATAAGGGGATCTATGTTCATCTTCATAAAAACCAATTGAGGGACTTCCTTGGTGGCACAGTGGTTAAGAATATGCCTGCCAATGCTGGGGACATGGGTTCGATCCCTACTCGGGGAAGATCCCACATGCCTCGGAGCAGCTAAGCCCGTGTGCCACCACTACTGAGCCTGCACTCTGGGGCCTGTGAGCCACAACTACTGAGCCTGCGAGCCACAACTACTGAAGCCCGTGCGCTCTAGGGGCCCGCATGCTGCAACTGCTGAGTCCGCGTGCTGCAACTACTGAAGCCTGTGTGCCTAGAGCCCGTGCTTCACAACAAGAGAAGCCACTGCAATGAGAAGCCCATGCACTGCAATGAAGACCCAATGCAGCCCCCTCAAAAGAAAAAATTTTAAAAAAATTTATTAAGAAAACCCTAATTGAACAGTGTACCTAAGGTCTCTGCATTTTGCTGTATGGAAATTATATTTCACTTTTTAAAATTGAGTGCAGATTATAAAACATTTTATACAGTTTGGTAAGTGTAAATGTTACAAATGCTGTTTCATAAAACTGCAGTTTTTGGATTTAATCCAAATTTTATTGGCATTGCATTTTAATTTTATTATACGATACGTGAGAGTCAGACTTAAATCAGAGGTTTCACATTTGGCTTTGTTCACCAGTATCAAGCCGGTTTCACTGTATTGCATGAGGTGAATTCCAAAGCAAATGGCCCAAGTTACGTGGTAAATATAACTAAAGGCTGTCTGGTTATGCTGTGAATTTTTTGTCACCTTGGTTATTATTCATGAATTTTTTTTCTAGATGTTTAAAATATCGAACACCTGCTCCTAGTAGTTTGCCTACCGTTATCCTCTGTAAGGGGCTGTTTATAGAGCATCCCGTGCTAGGATGATGAATTTCAAAGAGAAGATCTTGCCGAATTACTTCACATCATCTTGTTAATTTTTGAAGTGTCCTTCCATTTTGCTATTTATATTTGGTTAGTTTTCGCCTCTTCTATCTTGTTTTGTTATAGTCAGCCTCTGGAAGATGCTGGCTCCTGCAGGTACAACCTAGTTTGAATTCCTCTATGCCTTATTTTTCGTATACTAGCTACTTTATTGATTTTTTTATATAAAAATTCAGTTGTGCATGAAGAGCAGTTTATTCTTAAATTTTTATGTATTTATCACGTAGTCCACTTTATGAATATGTCCTTTTTCTAAGAAGGGGAATATTATACCTAGATAATATTATGTTTTTCCCAGAGTTAATTGGGAAGACTTTATTTTTATGGCAAGCTCTGAGTTCATGCTTTATGTAGCATACATTTTTGTGGACTGCTTTGTGGGAAAAATCACGGAAAGATTTTTCTTAAGAGTTCATTCAAATATATTTACAAGAAAATGTCACGGCAGTGTCTGTTTTTTTCGAAATGCTGTGAGTTAGGAACTGTTCTGTATCTTGCCTTCCTCAGGAAAAATGCAGGATAAATGTGGCCAGATTTTTAAGAGACAATGGATTTCTGCTATGTAAGAAGCTTCAGTTTTGATGAGCTTTGAATGTAATTTTTATGAACCTTCATAAAGATATGATTCTTTGGTACATTCTTCTTTAAATGTGTTTCACCTTTCTTACCTAATTCTAGCTATTTCATATCTGTGTGATATAAAGAGATGTCGAAGCATAAACTACATGCTGTAACATCATGGCTTTATCAACTAAAAAATATACTAGACTCCGTTTATGACACTTGAGGGAGAGGGGACAAGGAAGACATTCATGGTGTTTTCTGCTTTAATACAAGACAGTAATCCTTATTCCTCTGCCTCTGTTACATAATAGCTAAATCTCAGTTTGTGATATCATAGACTGAGAAATTTACACATAATGCACAAAATTGGAAAACCTAACAGTACTGCTGTTTAGAAACTATCATTTATTTTTAGTTACTGTTTTATTTAAAACTAGCTTTGTTAGAGCCAGCATTTGTTAGTGGACTACCTAGGGGTAATCTACCCTTAGGATGATTTGCTTAGAGGGTTAGGACCTCATATTGATAGGATAACATCAGAAGGCTTTTCCTCCCTATTCAGGTATTATAACAAATGGGTGGAAGGGTGAGGAGCTGGCTTTAGTTGGTACATAGGAGTGTCCTGTTATTCACTGCGTGAGGGCCAGGTGAAGGTTTTCACGTTTTGTATTGTAAGTTATCTCTTTAGGGCAACTTAATGTTTTGTTGCTTGGGGTAGTCACGTCATATATGTGTATTTGCAGGGTGGGGATACAGACAGTACAAAAACAAATGTTACAGTGTGGTGCTAAGTGTAGTGGTTCTTAAACTGGGAGCCTGTGAACGTTCAGACATTTTCTGCAGTTGTTTGCACGGCATGCGCATTTCCTTGAGAGACAAAAGGCCTAGCAAAGGTTAAGATCCATCGTTCTAGAGCCTGATTTGAGGTGTAGTTACCAGGTATTGATTTCTCCATAAATGCAAAGAGGCAGTAGCCTCTGTAAATTCCCCAGGCAGTTGATCCCACTATCTCCTCTTTTGTATGATCATGTTAAATTTTCTTGGGCATTGTTTCATTTTATGTCTCAATAATTATTTACTGCCAATTAGAACTCTGACACTTTCTCTTGTTAGCCTACCTGACATAACATTGGTAGAGCTAGAAAATGATTTCCTGCATTTCCCTCTATAGCGATTGCCTCCCTCAAATTATAGAATATGGTAATATTGTTAATAGGTAAAGTGGTGACTGTATTATGTGGTAATTGCTAAGAGTCAGCTATTAATGTTTTCTTTTGACAATAAAAGCTTTTCTGGACTTAGCAGAATTAGGGGAGTAATCGGGATCCTTGTTTTAAAGGTCATCATTGGTGATTGGTGGAGAGCTCTAATGTGTCTTTCTGTGAATCTGTGAAATTTAGTTTGCACTAATCCTGGTGACTGTGCGTGAATAACAGACAGCAACACAGATGAGCACAGCCTTGAGCTTGGTAACTGCTTTAGATTTGGGCTCCAAGTAAGGACTCCAGGGAAGGTTTCTCTGTTCTTAAAAACTAGGAGATTAATAGATCTTCCGTCCAGGACGGCTCCCTAATTTCAGTTGGACACTGCCAAAAACAAGGACTCCGTAGGTATTAATATGACTCTGCTTCTTTGTTAGTAGCCTTGACAAAAGCTTCCTTTTTATGTATATTTACTTTTCCAATAAAGGATCTTTTACTATTTTGTATTTTAATACAAGGGGCAGATGTCTCCAGCTCTGAGCTGGGCTTTGCAACATGTCCTGCCTTTTGAATGTTTCTTTCAACTTGGGTAGCTCTCTTTGTTAAAAGGCCAAACCCCTTAGTGAGATGTTCTGGGAAAGAGGACCCCTTGATATTTGAAAGGTGAGAAATCCATTTAAGCCACGTGATGGCTACCGACAACCCTACTGCCTGGTTCTGCTTGTTTTAATGTAAGTGATAGATGCTCTGGCTGGTTGTGTTCAGTAATTGGATGTGAACTATATAAGTGACATTTCATGGCAAATGTGAGGGCGTTGTGGATGGCACTCGATTTCTGTGTTGCTGCCTTAGGCTTAACGGTAAAAACCGTAATGGAATTTAATTATTAGAGCATATATTCAAATATTAGTTCAGTGCATTTGTAATACCCTTAGTTGTTAGGTAACTGTTCGATTACTGTGCATGACACTGAGTGTGTGTGATTTATAATGCCAGTGTGTGCAGTGCAGCAATAGAAATGCTAATAAGGCTGTGTGTAGGGAGGGCTGCCATCCATACTTTGTCAGCAGCTTGCTGCCAAGTAGTCTTCTAGGAAACACATAATCTGCAATCAAAGAGGAGTTTGTGGAAATAGCAAACATAGACAAAAAACGTTACAGAAAATGGTGTTCATTGCTTTCTTTCAGGAGAGGTTTTAGTTATATCTTATTAATAACACCTTCTTCCCTTTTTAAGTGTGTATACAGCCTTGATGGTCTATCACCAGGTGAAGAGGAGTCGATCATACTCTTTGTTTATTTCAGGGCTGGTTTTACAAGGTAGCATTGAGTGGAACATCTTGTATTCAGTTAGAGACTCTCTAGATTTCATATTTAAAGTCTCTATTCCTTTTCATATCAGCAACACTATGAGCATTTTTGAGGTGAAGTGGTCTCTGAATAAGGATGGTATGGCGTGTATGGAGGGCAAAGGAGTAGATGGCTTTCTTCTACGAGCAGTTGAGAACGTGTATGACTGTTTATACAGTGGTCCCTCAGTATCCTCAGAGGATTGGTCCAGGACCCCCCCGCGGATACCCAAATCCTCAGATGCTCAAGCCCCTGTGTGCTGGGAAACAGAAAATTCACGTGACTCGCTTGATTGCCGCTAGTCACTTCATTGCGGTGGTCTGGAAGTGAACCCATGATATCATTAAGGTGTACATGCTATGTATGTAGTATACCACTGTACATAGTAATAGGTATGTATGATATATGTGTAAGTTCTATGTAACGTTTACTCATATCATGCAATAAAATGCTGTAAGCACTCCAGAAACCACCCTCATGCCCTCTCCTAGCCACTAGCCCCATGATAACTAACTACTTAGTTAGCCCCATGATAACTAAGCTCTGACATCATAGATCAGTTCTGCCTGCCTTTGAACTTTATATGTAAAGGGTATCATGTGGTATATATTTATCTGTGTCTGGTTTCTTTGGCTTACCATATTGTTTGTGAGATGCATCCATGTTTTTGTGTGTTACAGTAATTCATTTTAATTGCTATGTAATAATACATTGTATGGATATACTGCAATTGATCCTAAACTGTTAGTGACTATTTGGAAAATTAGAAGGATTTTCAAACATCCCCTTCAGTAATTGAGCAAACAAGTAGATTATAAATCATAAGAATACTGAACAGCACAGTTTAAAAATTTGAGTTAAATGTCATACATACAGAATACATGCCCGGCAACCAAAGAATATATATTCTTTTCAGGTACATATGGGACATTTACCAGAAATGGCAATGTTGGATCTTAATTCAGGTCTTAACATATTTTAGAGGATTGAAATCATACAGAACATCTTCTCTGACC